CTCTTAGCTCACAGGTGCAGGGTGAGGACCAACTGCACAGACCCTGTAGCTTGGCTGCCTAGATTGGAATCCTGGCCCCCATAATGAGCAGCTGTGTAATCTTGGTCAAATTACTTAAACTCTCTGTTTTCCCAGGTATAAAATGGGGAACATAGTAGAATAGCATGTACTTCACAATGCTGCAGTGACAGTGGATAAAATGTGAAGTGCTTAGAATGGGGCCCGATGCACAATGTGAGTGTGTGTCGGCTGTGATGTTTTTCTTGTCTTTATCATGACTGAGAGACAGACGCTTGGCAGTCACACCGAGATGGGGTGGGGACAGCCAGAGGTTGTCCTAACTCTGAGTCCAAGTCCCTTGACCTGCCGCCTCCTCCTCCTCCTAGGAGCCCTCCTGAACCCCATTTTCCTCTTCCACTGCATCACCTCCAACATCATCTGCTCCATTGTCTTTGGAAAACGCTTTGACTACAAAGATGAAGAGTTTCTGAGGCTGCAGGACCTGTTCTACCAGTCTTTCTCACTCGTCAGCTCTTTATATGGCCAGGTCAGAGAGATGGAGAGGGACAGGGAGGGTGGATGAGGTGACATCCAGGGCAGGGGAAAGGAAATATTTGGGGGGGGCAGAAATGCAGCTTATGGCTGGAAGAAAGGCAGGGACACGTGGAGAGACAGGGACACTGAGACCTGGGGACAGGGACAGAGAAACTGAGGGAAAGGATGGGGGTGATGGGAGGCAGAAATGGAGACTCAGAGGAAGACTAACAAAATGATGGTTTAGGATAGAGAGAAATGAGTGAAAACAGGACAGGGAAGGGCAGAGATAAGGGAATCCTGAGAAACAGAGTTGATAGTAATGAGTGGGTGGGGGGCAGCGGCTGTGGGTGTGAGGGAGAGAGAGGAGACTGAATCCGACTTTCAGCCTCTCTGCTCTTCTAGGCCCTGATTCCTGTGTCTTTGCTTCTCTGTCCTAGGTAAACACCTCACCTGAGGAAATTCAAGGGTATATCACAATAGGGAACCACATTTCTTCCATTTTCCCATTTCTCCTTCTCCCTGTGTATGCATTTCTTTAAAGAACATTTCTCAGATTATGAAGTTCTAGGCTACTCTTTTTTTTTTCTTCATCTAATGGCAGTGTTTATGATGCATCTCTTTTTTCTTTTACAAGAATGAGTGAATTTTATTTCAGCATATTATGGGGGTACAAATGTTTAGGTTATATTGCCCTTGCCACCCCCCAGTCAGAGCTTCAAGTGTGTCCATCCCCCAGATGGTGCGCATCACACTCATTGTATATGTATATAACCCTTACCCCTCCATTATGCCTGAAACCCGATAAATGTTATTCCTCTATGTGTACTTAGGTGTTGATGAGTGAAACAATTTGCTTCTGAGTACATGTGGTGCTTATTTTTCCATTCTTGGGATACTTCACTTAGTAGAATGGGTTCCAGCTCTAGCCAGGAGTATACAAGAGGTGCTATATCACC